ATAGATATTGTATTATATAGTATTACAATTTTTAGCAAATTGCAAGACTCTTGATGCAACATGGAAGGCAGTTGTGACGGAACCAGTGCTACCAGTTCAACACGAAACGGAAGTAACCCTCACCTGTCCTGTAGATTTCACCAACAAGGGAGGCGACAGAGCAGTTTGTCAGGACGGACAATTTGTCCCAACAGGCAAAACTCCAGTATGTCGAGGTGAGTGCGAAGTTTAGTGGCGAAAATTAATTAAAACCCCTTTTTTTATTTGGAATCAGTAGTTTAACAACGCAACCTGAATAAAATATGATTTCAGCTGATTGTACGAGGAAGACTGTCGTCCTTGAGTCGAATTTCGTAATAGAAGAATCTCAGCTTCCAGTAAAAGATGGAACGGATATAACCTACAGCTGCCCAAAAAAACATTCCAAAAAAGGCAAAAATATTAGTGCAGTCTGTGACGATGGTTTGATCAGATTTACTGATGGATCTCCAGATTGCTCCAAAATAGGTATGTGCTGTTTCAATAGATCCAATCTTGGGTAAACTACTTACTTTAGGAACTTTAGGGCATAAATGTAAGAACTTTTTCTTTCCAACCTGCGCCTAGGGACAGGCTTGGTCTGAAAAAATTCGAACGCAATAATCGATATAAGCAACTTGTACTCGATGTTTGTCACACGGTCTTTTGATTCAAATGTTAATATTTACACTACTAGTTCGACTAGTAGTAGTGTAAATATTAACACATATAATGTACTTTAACTTATGGAAAAGATGAGATGGTAAGAAAGAATGATATTGTCAAAGATTTCCTGGAAAAGCAGCTCTCTGATGATGAATATCCTCTAAAATCTAGATGAACAGCTTGAAGGACTTCAAATTTATTCAACCCATATTTTCAGTACCCATATTTTACAATTTGTGGACGTAAGTAGCAAATTCCTGCGTTTGTTGCATGTTGAAGAGGAAATGGGTCAAATATGTGTCTTTTGTTTAGTTGTTAGTTTTCTTGCTGTCTTATATGGTCCGTTGCAGAATCTCGTGAAGATATTAATTTCAGCTCAAAATTAAGCCAGAAACTGTCGAATGATATTATGTATTGCACTGTATTTCACGGTACCTTACGAGACATATTTAATTTAGGTCACCGTCATTATTTTCCCCAAATTATTTTTCACGTATTTTCCTTAAAATTATGTTTTCGTCGATTTACTATCAATTTTGTAAGTTATAAATATGATTCATCAAACAAATGAACACTAGTATTCAATCATGAATTGTTTTTTAAATGATTTTGGAAACGTTCCATTAAAAGTAAGCAAGCTCTGTCACTACTATATTGGCCACGTCACTACCAAATCATTTAGGTCACCGGAATTATGTCGAACATAAATATGTCTCGTAAGGTAATTCCACAATTTTCCTTTTAAAGTTTGTTCCCGAGTCACTGCATATTTACGAAATTATATTTCGTAGAAGTTAAAACAGTGTTTTTAGGAACCTCAATTCCACAATGACAGTGATTATTTCAGTCAACTGCACGATCCTCTACGGAACTTGAAGTAGTACTACCAGATAGAGACGGAACGGAGACAAACCTTAACTGTCCTTCAAAGTCAACAGAATTAACAAGGGAGGTGACACTGACAGGCCGACCTCCAGTCCTTGTGAGTTATATTTGGTGATAAAATCCTTCTGAAATCTTGCATTCGATATATTACATGCTGGCGTTTTTAGTGTTAAATTTATAGTTGACCAGTCTGTTACATTTGTTATCAGTGAAAATATTCTTTATCATGTTGATTAGTCATGTTGATTAGTCATGATAGATCATAGAAGTGGTTGTTGTTGTTGATGGCCGGGCTAAAATGAGTTCGTCGAAAGACTAAATCCTCATTAGGGATCTCCTTTTCGCGCCCTTTACGCAAAGACAGACACGGATTCAAACAACTAAACCTGTTCAACCAGTTCAGACGCCCTCTAGCGTGAAATCACAAAAGCGCCAGCATTTCGGCCAATTTCCCCTCTAGGATACTATCGTAATCCATGAACGATCCCGGCTGAATGCTAACTATGAGTAAAACTTGAGACATTCTTATGCTTATTTTACAAAATTTACTGTCTGCAGCAGTGCAGCTAATAGAGATTTGTGAATTTGTCTTAGATGTCTCTATTGAACGTCTCTCATTGTATGGGATCGACGTTTGGCGCAGTTATTATTCGAGGACATGCAAATTATCTATTAGCGTGCCCTATTTTATGATAGACGTATTCTTATCGTTAATGAGAATTCGATTAGCCAATTAGTTCGAATAGAAAACCTCATCAGCATGCGTCTATATGGCAACCGATTGACTGCCGTATATTTATAAGTACCCATGACAATACTACAACCATCGAGAGTTTAGCCGATAATGTTTCCTAATTTTCAGACAAGCGACTCGTTTTAGTAAATTAACTCTTTAAGACCCGAGATAGAGAAACAAGGACCCGGTTCCCAATTCCTATTATCGAGCTCCAGTAATTGTAGTGTGGCGGAGGCTAATGTCCCGGCACTGCCTCTAGGTAAACAAAATCTCCCCTACTGGGCCGAACTGGTGGGATGTGAAATAAAGGAATAAGTTGTATAATAGTACGATCCACCCTGAGGGAGGTTGTAGTTTCGCGGGGAGCTGCCGAAATCCTTTATCATGAAAAGTGGGCTTTGTTTGGGGGCGGAGTGGGCCATTGTTCCCCCTAAAACGCGGAGCTCAATTAACCAGACTAGTCACCAGATGGACGGTAATTAAACTGTGTAGTAGAGTTGATTGGGAGACGAGGTATGCTCAAGTTGTAGGCTCTTAGTATCGGGTCTCTCTAACCGAGTTGAAAACGAAAGCACACAATGGGAATGGGGGAGTTAACTCTCCTTACTTCCTACCGTTTTTAGGACTAATGAAGGTGAGTGGGTGTGCACGTGGCAGTTCACCTCGACTCTTGGGTGTGTGGTGGGGATGTAGAGCATTTCTGGGGGTTATGAGTTAGAACACGTGGTGAAGGGTGTGAAACAAGGAACTGTGAGATAGAGACACCTGAACACATGAACAACACTCCGACTATATTGCAGTCAGAAACGGTTCTGGTATTATCCTTCTACTTTACAGTATGCTGGGTACAAAACTATTCAGTGGGTACTAAGCATGGTACAAAACTTTCGCTATAACTAACAATATTGCTCGGAGGACATATCCAGAGATTGTTGAGACACTATATTAATTGATACTTGAGAAGAGGTTTTAGTTACACTCCTACAAACCTTGGTATAACTAGATTGTATGTACGACGGAACAGCTTGCAAAACTCGATTGGCATTTCTGATATTTTCCCATCTTTGTTTGACCATCTTTATAAACTTAATGCCAAGACGATCAACATTTATAATTTAGCTCATCAATGGGACCCAATTTATTATGTACCTCAGTATCGCCCCGTCAAACAATCAGTAGAGGGTGACAAATAGAGCTTACCATTACAAAGCAATTTGTCCGGTTCAGTGGAAATCAAATAACATGTATTGGGGGCAGCGTCCAGTGCCATATCCGGCTTGGAGAGCTTAGTTGACAAACACGATGAGAAATTGAGTAGTGAGTACTATTTTAAATTATACTACCCGGAAAGGGAGAGGGCTACAGCTCAACCCAGCTTCATTGCCCTGTGAAAATAAAAGTTATAGCGCTCTACAAGATCGAAACTTAACATGCACATCTCAAGGGATTTAGGGTACTGACCAATATTGAGGGCCCATTAGGTTAAGGACCTTAATAGAGCCAAACACTTACCTCACTATATAGCTGACTAAAAATTTAAATATTATAATATTGCACTGTACAATATCAAAATATGCTTAATCTTAACCTCCAATTGCACGTGTCGAGTTTCTCCGCGGAATATTCTATAACAATACATTGGATTATCACATAAGAATTTGATGGACCGGACCGTGCAGTTTTAAGCACGTGCATGACAATAAATCCAGCTCCCCACGGAGAAATATAATGATAGAGCAGCACGTGCGAGCAGAAGCACATGTCGCAGCAGCCCGCCGTCACATTGTTACAATCAGTCATTTTATTCAACCCTTTGTCCCTACACTCTACATTACAGTGCCGACTGGATGTCCAGTCTTTTCTGTCAGCCTGGTTTCGTTATCGTTGTTGTGCTGTTGTGATCAGGACACCGGTTTTCATGGTTCCTGTTCATACCTGCGGTTCATATGACTTTCCTAACTTACGTAACAATCGAATAAAAGAATAATCTACATAAACAGTCAGAGATTAAAATATGCAAATCTGCTGACAGAGTATTGAGGGTACTGAGAACACGGATGACGAAACCGGAAATTTCGATTCAAGATGGACTTCATTTGTTTCCATATTTTGGTCATCCGAACACCAGGCCCGCGATAGCTAAAATCTGACCAGTATCAGGGCTAGAGATTTACGATAAAGTTTGTCACGACAGTAACTGTTCACGGTTTGTGTCGCGTATAACATACGTTTCTTCAAGAAGCTTCAGATGTAAAATGAGGAGTATCTGGAATAGGAATGCACCAAATTTGAAACTTGTTGCGGTGATCTTTGTAGTCATAAGTCAGATGAAATCGATAAAGGAATAAAGGTCTAATTTAGCCTGCTTAAGAATGAGAGCGCATCATTTTCCAACATCACCGGTAATCAGTCATGTTCGTGCAGATCACGTAATAACTAAAATTCCTGTGAAGTGACAGCTTCGGGTTCAATTTTAATTGAAACCTGCCAGTGTATTATCCTGGACTAGCAGCTTTACTCAACAATAGGACCCTCAGCACTTTATCCGGGTGTCAGAACCTTGCCCCAGACCCACCGAGCCTCATCAGTGCTCTACACGCATGTCCTACAGCTAGTCACGTGACCTTTTAAGCGCCCACGTGGGCCCGGGCACTGCGCACGTGACTGCTTCTCACACGCGTGTTGCGCGCGCTCCATCAGCTGCTATTACATTTCTTGCACTTTAGTTTGGGATACGTCTAACGAAACTTGAGCCAATTAGTGACCCGTGCTTTAAGCCATGTTGCTAACGTCAGCAGCTGACAGCACGGCCATGCATAGCAAATTTGCTAATTTTGCTGACTACAATGTGCCAAACTTAGGAAACATCGCTACACCAAACAACCCTTCCATTGTCTCCCGGAACTTGGAAGTCAACCTCGCTGAGGTCAGCTCGACAACTGACATCTTGCCGAGTCCGCCATCCAAAACAGAGCAGGACAACTTCCTGAGATGCAGCCAGCAATCAGCAGCTCCACATGCTTCTCCAGTCCCCATAAAGAGTGACCCGGAGCAACCACCCAACGCTTACCCATCATCAGTCCTCCACAGTCCAGCCTTCTTCACCCCGCCTACCATGCACTACTTCCAGAGTCCAGGCAGCTGTGCCACCAACACCCACTACCCAGCCCAGTACAACCCCACCTCCCACTCCAGATACGACATGTACAACTCTCAGATCAGTTCCCAGCACTTCACCGGCGTCGCCCTCTCCTCCCTCATCAACCACTCAGATCTCAGTCCGGGCTACACTCCCATTCAGACCTCTCAGTTTCAGCACCCCCGGGACACCATGTCAGCTGATCTAGCGGCTGCTGGGGCGGTGGCAGCGGCTGCAGCTCGAGCTCGAGTGGTGGGGGTCGAGGAGGAGGTTATAAATCAACAAAGGGCCAGTAGGAGGCAGATGCACAAGATTTGCGAACAGAAGAGGAGGGATGGGCTGAAGACGGCTCTAGAAACTCTAAAGATGACGATACCAGGATGCAGCGTGCTATCAGACCAGTCTCAACAGAATATCCTTCTCAAAGGTTAGTTTTCTTTTCAAAGACATTTTCACTTACAAATTAAAATACTTTTAATTTGATTTTCATTTTTTTAAACTTTGCTCCTATTTGATCGAAATGGTTTGCAGCAGCTGGCCTCTCGGTAAATCCGAACTCATTCTCGTCGTCATTTGTTTAACTCCATCCTGATAAAATGCTCGCTCAAAACGAATACATTTTCAAATTGAGGTGCAAGTAATTAATCAAATTTGTATCGTCTGTACTACACCGTCCAGGCTTTACATTCATAGCTTGTGATTTACGGGAAAGTTTTGTTCGGCACTATACCTTAATATAGCCTAATATATGTATTAGGGCATGACAGCACGCTAAAATGACGCAACTAAACATTAACTTTTGACAGTTCGAGCTTTATTTGTTCGATATGTGTGACAAAGTTAACCCGCCCCTTTGTGTATCTGACAGGGTGGGCTCACCTTGATAAGATCTACATTCCAGGAGTTTAGTATCCTCTTTATTCTCTGGATTATTGGCTCAATAATTTAAAATGTTCTTGAAATGTATGATCGATACTGAAAGATCTGGGTAGGATCTTTCAAATGTCTTGTGATCATGGGTTCAACTTAATAATATTCGTCTCTTTTAAAGAAGTGAAGCCTGAAAAAAAGTCTGAATTGTAGACAATGAAGCTGAGTTCTTTACAATTCTAGTTTTATATTTGCACTATTTTGTAACTTTGTAATGGAATGCTTGATCACATTGTTGTGTAGTACTCCCGGTGAAAATGTAGTCTCTAAAACTTGGTGTCCGCATTGATATCTAGTAGACATGTCTACTTACTGCTGGCCTGAAATTATCTCATAATTTCTCCAATTGTTCGCCAAGGATCTCGTCTTGAACTTATTAGAGGTAACATTTGTTCTCTCCAGTGACTTACGCCCGAATTATAGCCTATAAAATCGGGTGATTTTCCGGTATTTAAGCTAGCTAAGTACCATTTATAAGGGACGATGTTGGCACCTGCTGCTGGATAGTTTGAAATAACTACTCAGAGGTCTGGTTTTTTAAATGAACACTGTTTGAACTGATGTCATAAGTTGGATATGATATCCATGTGTCATTGGTTTATAGTTGGGTGTGGGACAGAAATTGAAACTCTTGGAGATATAATTATACATACTGTGAAGTATATGGTAATGATCGAAGTTTATAAAATCGAATCCTTTCAACTTGCAGAATATTCTTCGACTGACCACAGCCCCTCAGGTTCTAAGTTCCCGTCGACTAAATTGGTTTATTTTGAACACCTGTACCACCCACTCTGTGAAAAATCGTACAATTAACTGTTTTTATAATGGCAAAAATAATCTGAAAAAGCCAAAACAGTTGTATTGATGGGGATAAGATCCTTAAATCGTATAACTTACATCTGAAAACTTTTAAATATTAAGTATACAGATATTGTCTGAAATGGTATCTTGAACTGGGAACCACAACGACCAGTTACTTTTATCAGGAAGGCTCGAGAACGTGAGGTATTGAGAGCTTACTCACTTTATCATCTGACGTTGCTACGAACGGTTTCCATTTACTATCTCCAGATCGAATATTATCCGGTTATGTTGCCCGGTTAACTACCACTACTACTACTGTCTGGTTATCGTATTTTCTGATAGTATAATTCAAGTTAGCTTGTAAACTCGTATAAAAACAGTAGTAAGTGGACGGGGCTTCAGTGCGTCAACAGTAACTTTACAACTACAATACCAACAGTTTCAACTGGTAACCGAACATTTATTGAGGAAGTGGTTGCACCAGACGGAAGCTCTTTTTCAAATCATAAAAAAAGCTTTTTTGCTGCCTTATAAGATGTTTAAATATTACACGAGGATTCCGCAAAAAGTGCGAGGTGCCCTATCACTACCCGTTAGCCACGTGGCTTGATGAAAACTGCACAGTTATTTTCGACTTTATGTTCAATTTACTAAATGGGCATGGTTTAACAATTAATTGTCTGGATCACAAAATGAATTGTTACTCCTTCTAGCAACTTCCTCATTTCCAAGAATTGCGCAGAAAACATGGACAAAGTTTATCCTCCCAAACCAATTTTCACAGGGATCAATATCTTTTATTTTTCCAAATAATAGAAAATCGGGCATGCAAATTATTCCTACCGGCTGATCTCGTGTAAAATTGTATTTCGTTATTTCATTCCGGAAACCACTAAAATTCTAAAGCATGTACACTGGAATTTAAATCCCAGTTGCAGGGGCCGTCGGGGCTTTAACCATGCCAGGACCATGACCTTGCTAAAACCAGTCTCCGTAGACCGGGAAAGTTGAGGGGTGGTTAATGCAGTCCCTGCTAACTGGTTTACCTAATAATGTGGGGATCAGTTTGAGGGTTCTAATTAACTCCCCTTACTTAAAGTATGCTATTGAGTCTGGTCAGATTCATCCCACCTGATCTAGAGGCTCTGCCTCATTGGTCGAGATACCCTCACGTGACCCAAGTGTCGTCACCTTGTTGGAGGATGTGGTCACACTGCACACGCTAATTAATTGCAATGTAGTATAAATACATTGCTGTAGAGCGGAGAGACTTAAAGCACCCTCAGGCCCCAGAGCCTGAGACGTCAAATTTAATATCATTAGAGTTCACAACCGCGGCACGCATATATTGAGAGATCTTGCGACTTTGACCTGTAGGTATGGGTAATTTAGTCAGTGGTCCAATCAGATTGCTTCATTTTGGACATGTGATGTTGGTCATGGTGCATTGCTGTACTTGCGGTTCAACACATTTTTATACTTATTACTACACTGCCGAAAAGTCATAACGCTAACGAAATTGAAATATCGGCACCAAAGTAGGTGAAACGCAAGTGCAAGAACAAATAATGTCATATTTGATGAAACAGTATACTGTTTATAATAACAGCGAGAGCAGGTTTTATTGCACGGGCGAATTCCTGTGGTTGAAACTTAACTCAATCACTAAAAGTATAGAGTTACAACTATTAACTACACTACTTTACTGCACTAAATATTATTACATGATAGTACATGTACAGATCATGTGTTTTTTTGCACATGCTATCATGTAAACTATATCTCCAGTAAGTCTTCTCTATAAGCTACTGAACTTCATTAGAATACATGTGCACGTGCATTGGGTGCGCGCATCACCCTCATAATGAACCACGTGTAACCAGGTTCATTACTTCAGTACTTGCACGCACCCTGTACATGCACAGTGAACAGTGCACCCAGTTACAGAACTAACAGTCCATAAGTCCCCTTGTTTATTGTTGGAGGAGGGAAATTTTTCCCCAGACTTCACTCATATAACAAAGGTTTATATTTGGCGCCAAAATTATAGTTACTCGTCCCCTTTCCATTGTATCTAGACAGACTATTCGTACTCGTACCAAAACGCTGCTGGGCTCCTAAAATAGGCATTGTCTTGTCTGTGTTACGTTGTGTATAACATGTGCAGACTACAGACGAAAATATCACGTGCATTAATAAAATCACATTTTATCTAATTAACTTCTCATTAACAGAGTTCAATGTTTGTTTGTCGACTGCACTGTAAAATAGTCTATCAGAATAATTTCGTATTCCGTACTGCCATTTGCCGTGTTTTATTGGTGCTGAACGAATGTTGGAATTTGACTCGTCCGAGTTAATGAGCATGTCTTTAGGTGGGTAATGTGAGAGTGGTCGCAGGACACTCGAGTTATATCTAACGTAAACTAACTTCCCCTTCAAAATATTCCGACAAATCCATTTCCACTCCTCTGTGGAAACACAAACCTTCAAACAAGATTGTACCAACATTTTTGTCCGTGCTCACGGAATTTTAGAATTGTGGCCCGTGGCCCGACCACCTCCCCAGCCTTCTCGCCCTACAGTTTATTGTTAAGGGCACCTGTAATAGCGGGCTCGTGCTCACCCGTGCCTCGTTTAGCGCATACCAAGAAGCGCTACACTCTCCCTCCCTTGCGATTCTTATACTCCTTTCCATTAGAATTACCTGCAATTGGGATCACGCGGTAGATTTACAGCTCTCTGATTGGCCGCAGCTATTTCAGGCGGGTGGTTATTGGTGGGCTACTGATAAGGCAGGTGTTGAGATAGCGACGCTGCATTAACCATGTGCCCCATTATTTCAGATATCCCACTTGCCAATGATGAGGGAGTCTCGGGTGCCACGTGCCATGACGCCTCTGGATGTGCTATAACAGGCCCAACTATAGTCGTTAATTACAACAAGAACTACTGGTAATACTACCTGTGCAACTTAAAACGAGAGGCTTCCACAGCTGCTAAACACGTTTTAATGCACTTAAAACTAGACAAACTCAATCCCTCACAACTTTGACTCCTCCTCTGCTGAGTCTGCAAGCAAGCAATCTGACCGTCTACCATGATTTCTTTGGTTTGGCCCTGTCTTACGGGCAATGACTGCAGCGTGAGACGTCTAATATCCTGTTTGCTGTCCACGAGGGTTCTGATGGTTATTTCACCTTCGTCACCGGGACAACGGTAGAGTTGCTACTCTACTTCGTCGGTTGTATGCTTAGTCTACAAGTTATTACTAGGCTAATAATCAGAGGTCAGAGCTGGTTGCCCGGTAGGGCACATGTGCCTTACATTCCACCGGGGGTACTTAACGACAGTGTAACGGTATGATGCGTGCTGGTGAGCCGTAGTGCGCCACCGCACGTGCTAAATAGCGCACGTGCTGAATCGGCAGTGATTGTTTGCTTTACACTTTTTATATCACAACATGTAGTAGGCTCAACCCGAATGTAGCATGTCGAACATTAAAAAACAACTAAAACTTATAGAAATCTTTAAATATGGAGAGTAAAATTATAATCACCAGAGAATTCACGACTCAGCCCTAAAGATCTCCAGTTGAGCCGAGATGGCCATTGTTTTAACCACTTATTGCCAAAACAAAGGCGTGTAAAATTGCTTTACTTTCTTAAAAGAAAGGAGTGTAGTTTTCAGGAAGAACTTGGCAGATCAAAGTAAAAAGTAATAGGTGGTTGTCTGTCAGATATTAAACCATTAACTCCACCTCCATTGACTTTGAGAAAAAATAGTGCCATTGAGTCTGTTTTGTACCGATCAAAGGAGTTCAACCCGAGTTTTAGTTTAATATCTCAAAAGTAATGATTGAAGCGATCTGATAAATTTGATTTTAACATGTTGTTCATTTCAGCGTATCAGTTCGTGTGTGATCTGCTGAGGAAACAACAAGCCAACAAAGTGGTGAGTAAAATTATTTATTATCTTTAAACCGATGAATATGATAAAACTTATTAGTTAAAAGTTGGCGATTATATTCGGCTGATGTTGCCAGTGTTCAAATTTAAAATACATGGCATTTATTCTGGTCCAACCTGCTGTACATATAAATATGTAGTACTATGTTTAACTCTTATTCTCCCTTGTCTGAGGGTATAGTTTGTGTACAAAATGAATCCAAATCTTTATAACTTAAAAATTTCCCAACTCTCTAATGAAAAGCAGTTCTTAATATTTCAATTAGCATCTGGTATAGAGTTTTTCATCATTTTGTATGTGGTCTTCGGTTGGCGGATTGTAATTGGACAACGATTTCAGTAAGAAATTATAATCTAATCTCCTGAAAATAGATTAACACACTGCAAAATGCAAATGCAGCAGTTCGTATGTGTCTTATACCATTGCACTGTTATTAACCACACTAGCACATAATATAGTATTACCACACCTACACGCAGTCCACTATTAGTAGAAGTATAATCACTACGCTACCCTTTGTTTGAAAAGTAAATAGAGCTGCTCAAAAGATAATCCAATGATCTGGACACGTGACAAAGCACATTGTGCGCGGTGTCACGTGGGCAGTATGTAGTGCTAGAACCCCATTGTGCACTGCACTCTGCTTAACACCAGCCACGCCTGCCTATTGGTCAGCATTTAGGTAGCTGTGTGCTGATTGGTTGTACAAAGCATCAGCCCAAGAGGATATGAAGCTATGTGTGTGTGTGTGTGTGTGTATTCTTGACTGAGTGTATGTAGGCCGAGTTGGCCCAGCCCCGCCATGATGGTACATCGAAACAGCAGATACCTCTGAAATGGAGGCATTGTGTTCATTGCTACTTGCTGGAAATATCAGATGTTACCAAAGAAACTTGATACGCTGGTAGTAAAGTATTAACTAACAATCAAGCAATGAGACATTAAATTCACTGATGTCACTTTTATGATGTCATTATTCTGATCAACAACTATGTCAGGTTATCGAAGAGTTACAAAGCATGAGAGAAAAGAACGATATCCTGCAATCAGAGATTGATTACTTCAAGGACGAGTACAAAAAAATGAGGTAAGTTCTTCTCAGTTTTAATTTTTGGTCAATCCATGCAGTCGACATTTATCAGCCTGCTGTACCTTATAATTCCACTGGGTACCTCCCCAACTAATGAGTAGCACAACACTAACTCTTCCTTCTAACCCAGCTCTGTGCCGATGAACAATGTACCAACGAACAGTAACATGTCATCCATCAAACCGGAATCCAACCACGTGATATCCTGAGGGAAAACATCTCATTCTTCAGACTCAGAGTACAAGTAAGTTCTTACCATGTACTGTGTATTGAAAAATAAAATGTCTACAGTATTATTTTTAGTATTTACAGCCCGAAATATTATATCTCCTAAAAGTATGTTAACCGTCCACAGCTGCATTGCAACGTCAGAGCTGAAGCCAGCTATTTTAAGCTCCATTCTCACACTGCACTGAAAGCTCTAACCTGTTATTAACGGAGATATTTTCACAGGTTTGCCACGGAAACAGCCGTTATCTCGTTAGACTGTCAATATTCATCGCAAAACTTTTCCGTAAATACGCAGCTAACTGTTCCACGCCTCTCATTGGTCCAACGAAGTCACGTGATGAGATGAAAAGCTTCTCATTGGTCGACGCCTCAGTGATTATGGGGATATTGAACTATCGGAAAGTCGTTAAGTCAAAGGACATTTTGACTTTGCTATTACAGTGAATTCTGGGCGGAAGTGTCAGGATCTGAAAGGTCAGCCTTGGACCCGACGAAAGTGCTCCAAATATGATCCTAAAATGGCTCCAAACACTGAAAAAGATCTGCCATGAGGTTTACGAGTTGATCATGACATTCACGATGGTTTATGGCAAGGTATCGTAGATGCCTCCGTTTTTTAGAAGTATACCATTTGACTAATAGACTTGAGATCATAAATGTGACTACAAATAGCCAAGTCGGGCAGTCTTGGGTTGTTATTACTGGTGTGCTTAGCCAGAGAAATCCTCTGTTAGAAATTAGCTAATATTACTATTTAACGTTCACCGTTAATCTACTTTAATTAACAGCCGCTGAAAGATAGAGGTTCGATTTATTTTCATTTAAATTTAACCAAAAATCGAAAGTGGACTCCAATTTATCGCTGGACTTCATAGTTACGTAATGGGCATACTTTCTTACTCTTTATCGACGTTTTTCTGCCATGATTATGGGGCGACCTAAGCCAGCCCGACGATATTATAAGTTCCGATTTTTGGTTTGTTGTAAATTCGATTTGTATATATCATTTTATTTATTATTTAATAAATTATTGATATCTTAAGAGCCCAAAGATTAGTTTTTATTTTAATTAACGTACTTAATAAGATGTAATGAGAGAAAATGATTAAAAAAATGTAATGAGAGAAAATGGATACAAAATTATTCCTCAGCAGGAACTAGAACTGGAACTGACAAAGTTTGCATATATTGGGCTTAACCATGAGATCACACGAAATGGCGAAGATAAAGTCTTGATAATAATGATGTACTACTTCTGCTCAGTGATACTGAGTAGTCACCTCGTGGTCGTTACTACTAGTATAGATAGTAAAGTACTTCCAATAGCCAGTGCTAGTACCAGGGTGGTAAAGGAAATGACAGTGGTGTTGAAGCTCCTAAAAATAGGATAAAATTAACGATATCTTGGTTCTACTCGGACTCAAGACTGCCTTCAGGATGTTTTAATGGTTCGCCCGAGGATGTCACATCTTGTTTTGAGCGTGGACTCTATGTTGATTTAGTTCGATAGATTCAGTTCTGCATTTGGTCGGTTCATTGTATCACAAATTTTCCCGGAAATTTATGAAATATTTCTCAAAACTGTCTTATTTGAGCTAATTTTTTAACGTGGTCCACGGGTTGTATAGTAGTTTTCAAGCAGGATTAGATAGATAGATAGCCTATGAAAACCTAATTTAGAAAAATGAGGATAAAACCATCAAACCAGAATTTAAAGTGGACATCTTTTTTACCTCCAGTTAACATAGATTTATTCACGTTATATCATATATGCCGTTATATTATATATGCTGTTATATTATATATGCCGTTATATTATATATGCCGTTATATTATATATGCTGTTATATTATATATGCTGTTATATTATATATGCTGTTATATTATATATGCTGTTATATTATATATGCTGTTATATTATATATGCTGTTATATCATATATGCTGTTATATTATATATGCTGTTATATCATATATGCTGTTATATTATATATGCTGTTATATTATATATGCCATTAACAAGCGTTTAAGCTGGTTGAAGTGTGAACCAATACCTTGATTTACTATTTGACCAGTATCCCCGTATAGTAATAGCATTTAGTTTGTTCAGGTATCTGGTAAAGAGTATACTGCATTTCCCTGAGACTAGTGAATATCATGAATTATGGAATATTTCATGATATTCAATAATCTCAGATTGGGGTCTTACACTATAAAAGTGGAAATAGCTTAAGAAATCTTACAACTGTAGCATCATGAATCACAAATAAAAGTGAAATTATTACGTGCTTTAAAAACTTTCTTGATTAAAATTTCCAATGTCTATTTATTTGGGGTTACTCTTGCAGCACGACTAATGATTATAGCATGAATAATCAAAATTTCTAAGTTGAAATCCAACTTATGAATGAAATTGCCTGACTTAGAGGATGCCTGTTTAAATTAGGCTCACTAAATGAATACCTTAAACCTGTGTTCAAATAAAAACTACCTAAATGCATTTAGCCAATTTACACGAAAAATCAAATTAGGAAGAAGTCTCATTTTGGCAACTGCGAGTTTATAATTATGAGTTGTGGTAGACACAAGGAGAGTGGAGACAACATATCAGTGTCTAGCTCCCGAGACAGAAAGTTAATTTATAAATTGCTGCTTCTCCACAACTTATTAATTGTCTCCTTGTTATTAACTTGAAATGTTATTTCATTGGAGCCGAGTTTTACTACCTATATTTGCAGCTGTTATTTTTGTTTTAATTTCAAAAGTCCCATTAACATTTGTGACCTTAAAATTATTGGTCGAAAACAGAGGCCGAAGCTATCGAAATTGATATTACCTTCGATTTTGAACATTTTACTGCTCCTGATAAATACTAATTCAGGTATGTGTGTAAGGGGTCGTTCACATGTAACTTCTACTTTTAGGCCATAACTATTAATTAATAAGTTTAAGTAGTACTTTAAACTTCCGCGGAGACAGCTTGAACCCTAGACATGGTTGACCTCACTTCTTAGTAGTTAGTAAAAAATATGTCAGTAGCAACTAGATAACTAGGAACCAACTGCTCGAGTGGTTATATAACCACATTGTTGTATAACCGCAGCAGATCTCCGTATCGTTTAACCTGGTGTTAAACTTCCCCACGACAAAAGTTTTCATTCAGTTCGGTGCGAACTCTGTTTGGAGGTGCGTTAAATGTGATGATAATTGCTAAAGTAACAAATTAAATTTGCTTGTTGCTGCTCTGTGCTTACTTGAGACACAAGTCGTCTGTTATTAATTTATTAATATTTTTGTCGGAATATGTTTGTCAAAATAATCCAAAATGTTGATCATTAAGAAGACTAATATTTCGGGGAGAAAAAGCAAAATATTTTAAATCTACCACTATCGTTGACAAGTGCTCTCAAAATATAGCAAAATATTCGTGAGAACGTTTAAAAAACACAAATCATTCATAGCAGTTGACCGTATATCAAGTTTGGTACAGGAAGCTATTTAGTCTCGACTAGGAGAAATTGAACACAAACATGTTTAACAAATTCATCAAATGAATTAGATTTATTATTGAGGAAGGCATCCGTTTATATTATTATTAAAGTTAAGCGGCAATAATATATTGAAGGGATTCTACTAGTACTACTGCGTAATATCAGTATTAGTATTGAATTTAATGTGTTTAATTTAGAATTAGTGTAGTTGAACTTGATGTCTATGGTTGCTGCCGCCTGCAGGATGAAATATAAAAGTAGCTCCTAATTGATTTAATTTATAACTTTGTGATAACTAGCTTACCAAAGAAGGGACATTTACTATAGATTAGTGATAATTACTAATACTATAATTAGTGATAATTACTATAATTACTATAAATAAGGTGCATCACAGCAAACACATACGTACAGAGTACAGACCCCATTGCAAACTTAAATCGCTCTGCAGACTTTTCCCGAGGGAATTGGCTTGGAAACTTTATTTTGCGTGTGACTGTTTGTGTTGGTGCTTATTGACCGATGTGCCCACACATACGGGTCAGTCTTCTTAATATTTTTGTGTCGTTTCTAATCAGTGTTGGGTACAAAGCAGACTACAATATACTTGACCATTAGAGACAAACTTACTAATTCTCTGGTGGTTCTTAGTTGTGCACAATCCGTGTTAGTTAATTGGTTGCTCCAATATCCCACTGTACTTCAAGCTTGCTATAATGTTAATTACTTACATCGTGGTCAGATCACTTGGTTCCCCCAAGTCTGCCAGCCGCACAAAGTTTGTTTTAGATTCTGAAGTTTAAATAAACAGCACATTAACCGATATTGGAAATTTGAACTTGAAGTTTAATTGGTCATTGAACTTGAAATGCATTTCCAAGACAAACGAAATTGTCCGGCATCACACATCACGTCACGCTGACCTTGTTAAAAACGGGCCCTCACACCACAGCACTAGTACTAACTAATTTAGCTTCAAGTTAAACTGCCAGTTAGAAATATAATTCGATTTGAAGTGCTCGTTATTGTGCATTTGTTTGCTGATGTTTCATACCTGCCGTTTTAAATGACTAATAAACACAGATAATACTTAATACACATCACACATTTAACATACATTTTCTTTTCTTGATACAGATAATGAAATGTGAAATTCACCGAAACGTTCCCTTGTAATCACTGATGTTATCAGCAATCAGTAATCAGTTAAAAGTAAGAAAATTGAAATTCTGAGAAATGGTTTTAAATTTATCAATCATTATTCGACAAAATTGAAAATGTTAGATTTAAAAGACCATACAATCCTTACCTATAATACAGCTATATTATAGGTGTACTTGCATCAAATTTGTGGACAAGTGTCAGGTATATCTTGAAACTAGCTTCGTGTTAATATTATTATGTGAGCTAGGTTTTAAGGTTTAGGTGATAAGGACTTCCTTTGAACCTGGGCCAGATAAACTAGCTGAAAATGAAACCCGAACCCCTGGGTAATTCTAAGTAAGACTTCCCTCCTTCAGACTGATATACAATGTGCAACATCCGTTTCTAATCCGTTTTTTATCAGGCTACCTGGATTATCATGTTTGATCATGCAATGACGAGCGAATCGAACATTTTTCCCGATTGACTAAGATATCCTTGCATCTTGGGTAACATGGTGTATGGAATTTTTTGGCTCTTAAATTGGCGGAAATTGTGAAAACACGCATCACGTAATACATTACTTTGAAAAAGTTAACTAGCAATACAATCTTACATCAAATTAGATGACATAATCTATACTTCATATAAATAAATGATTAAAAATTAGATAATATAACCAGAAACTTACTATGAAATTTCGATACAAAAAAAAATGCAGCAGAATTGGTCGGTTACGCAACACAGAACATAAAGCTTTCTTGACTAGCAGTTCAAACCTAGCTGCTGATTTGCTGATAAGGCACAACTTGGTCTCATTAGACCGATAAGAAGAATTGCGGTGATGTGAGAGAATAATACAATTAGCCTTTTTCTCTGCTGTACTCGCTGCGGTTTAATCATTTGTCATTGACACGGACGCTGCTTTTAAACTTCATATAATTGAAACATCTTTTCTCAATCTTATCGCTCTTCTAGTGTTGAAGCTATCCTTTTTAAGGCCGCTATATTTTTAGTTTATCTTATTTTAAGCACCGTTTTCCCCCGTCTTATTTCTTTATGTCCAAAGGGTAGGAAGATTTTATCGAAATGCATGCTTTATATTTAGGATAATTTCGATATAGGCGAAATTGGGGTAGTACGCCACTTTTAGTTTTAGTTTTAGTTTTATTTCGTAACCGTTACAGGTGTGCTGATTGAGTAACTAGCTTCTAGTTCTAGCAGTTTACATGTTCACATAACATAGTACATACTGCCCACTCAATGGAGGCTGAAAGAACATTAAAATGTTTTGACCATATAGTGACTAGTGGGTTGAACATATGATATAGTGAGTGATAATGTGACGCAGAAAACTAAGGCACACTTAGTGACTTTGTCGTATTTACTCGCGTCCTCTTCTTAATATGTATCTT